TACACACACACACACACACACACACACACACACACACACACACACACACACACACACACAATCTGGGGCTGAGGGATGTGGCACAATGGGTAAGAGCAGTGGCTGCCCATGCCTGTATCCCCAGTAGGGGGGTGAGGGAACTGAGACAGGATTGCTGGGGCTGGCTGGCTGCCAGCCTATCCAAAAATCATTAGCTCCCTACAACAAATACACAAAATAAGAATTGTCCTTACACAATTCCAATATCTGGACCTTCCTCCCTCCCACCCACTCTCTCCTTCTTCACAAAGGACCCCCAGATGAGTTCAGGGAACTGAACTCCCTCATGCACTCCAGCCCCCAAGTTCACCCTTGCTCATGTCTTTTCAGATTCCTGTCCTCTGTGTTCCCCATGCTCTTTTTCACACCTGTAACTGGCAGAAACCAACCCTAGAAGAACCAAACAGGACAGATGGAAAGTGATGAAAATGCAGAGAGGCTTGCACCATCTCCTACTATGGACCACGGTTACTGGGATGGAGCGACCGACCTTTCTCAATGCCCTTTTGGTTCTTACAAGCACACCTGATCTCTAGTCCTGTGTGATTTGGCAAGTCCAGTATCTGTGGAAAATGTTTCAAGGCCCAAGCAGGAAAACATAGAATTTTCCTCGGTCCTTTCCCTCCACCCTGTCCTTTGCCCCTCACCAAAGCAGGTACAGACCAGTGACATCACAGCACATTGGTGGTGACAGGGACACTCACCTTTGCATGCTGCACACCTTCCTCCACCAGCCGAATTCTCAGGCCTTCTTGTGACACCAGTAGACAATCCTCTCTCTCTGGTATTTTCCCAGGTGGTACCAGTTCTAATGCTTTTAAACTGGGTGGGGAAGCAGCGTGGGAGATGGTGGCTTTATATGCAGTTTCTACAGCTTCAGCAAAAGCCCCAGCAACCTTTGCAGATATGTCTACCAGATAAATTTTTTTCAACGTACTTCTGTCTGACTTACGCTTGAAGTTGTCTTTGATGGCTGAAACAATGGTTGCCACACACTGGTCTAAGGGAAAGTCAAAGATTCCAGAGCTGATAGCTGGCATGGCTATGGATTGACACTTGTACTCCTCAGCTAAAGTGAGACTTCGATCCACAACTTTCTTTAACAGACTCACACACTCCTGGGCCTTATCTCCTTTCCATCGAGGTCCTACTGCGTGGATGACATGACGGCAAGGGAGTTTGCCTGCTTTTGAGATAACGGCATTGCCAGTTAAGACCGTGCCTCTACTTCGTACTATCCTGTCACATTCTGCTTGAAGTTCAGGGCCAGCTGCATTTGAGAGAGCTTTTGCGAGACCATCAATGTGTTTCAGATTCTCATTTGATGCATTCACTACCACATCGGCAGCAAACTGAGCCAGGTCTCCCTGCTGTACAATCAGCGTGACTCCAGGAGCTATGTCTATCTGTAAATGGCACTTCTGCTCCTTAAGGCTGCCTTTCTCCTTCTCTCCATCCTCCTGGAGTTCAATGACGCATCCATACAGGCGTTTGATCTCACTTTTGTAATATGATGCTTTATCCTGGAAGAAGTGCTTGGCACCAGGTTTATCAATCTGGAATCTTTTAATGCACGCTGAATCCTGGATCTGCTTGACCATGTTCATGCACTCCAGAACTTTGCTTTTAGAGCCAGTTAGTAAAATGCCTTTTGGTTCATCTTCCAGCTTAAAACTTGCCTGCACATTTGCCTTCTTTATCTTGGGCCAGAATAGCTTCTTGTCTGTCTTTACATAGTCAATAATCAGGGATGGTTCTACTTCAAACAGTCTTTCAATTTTCATGTTGTTTTCCAAGAATTCAAAAAGCTGGTCATAGATTTCATTTACTTCTCTCACACAGCCTGCAATGATGACCTCAGCTGGGGTTCCTGAAGTTAGTTCATTCTTTATTATAATAGTTGCAGTAGAGTTGTATCTCTTTTGCAGAGGGTGAATTTTCTTTTTCCATACGTTGCCTGTAAGAACTTCCTTGTCCTCAACTTCAATGAGCTTATAACTTAAGGCATCGGCAACTTGCTTCTCTGCTTCTGCCAGGGCTCTTAAAGAACAGGCTGTCAAGAGAAGAGCTGTGCCCTTCAGCTCATACGTGGCGAGAATTTTCTGTGCTTCAAAAAGAGTCTTGGAGAATTCCTGACTGTTTACTTGCTGCAGGAACATGAAGACTTCAGAAGGAACCCGGACCTCTTTCTGAGACATGGAATACACCTTTTCCTGGATATCACACTTTACTTTATACACATCTACATGGAATCCTTTAAAGCACAGGTTCTGAGTGGCAGCATCATAATGAATCTCCATCTCTGGGTAGTCTTTGCTTAGATCCTCCAGAAAGCCACTGTGTTCCAAAAGAAAATGTTTCCCCGGAGAAATGGCCACTTTCTCCTTCAGACTCTGCTCCTCCTTTCTGACCTTTTCCGTGGTGCTGTCTATTAATTCCTTGATTTTCTGACCGATGTCTTGGACATCTTCTGATTTTCCTGCTAAGGTGAGACAGTCCTTATCAAACTCAATCAAAATCCTGTCGTCTCTTAGCTCATGCCGTATGATGTCCCACACTGGTGAATACACTTCAAACAGCTTAACTTCATACTTAGACCTGATGGCAGAGAGCGCCTTGGATGCGTCTCTCTGCCAGGTCTTGATGCTTGGTCTATGACTGGCTAAGGTGGCAGCAGGTCTGATGGTCAATGTGCCATTGATTTCAGACCACATTAGCTCACAGTGACAGCATCTCATTTTGTCATTGATCTCCTCGATCAGATGATTATTCTTTTGAAAGAACTTCCACAGAGGAAGACCCAGTGACTCTTGGAAAGATGCTGGAAGCTTGACCAGTGGCTTCTCCTCACCATATAAGGCTGTGCCCAGAGAGGGATAATAGGGGAAGACAGACAGTGGCATCTTGTTGAAACTGTGTTTCTTGGCCATAATGGTGTCTAACACTGTAAAGTAAAGTAAATAAATAAATAAACAGTAGTAATCTTAATGACATGTAATTCCAAAGAACACAACACAAAACAAACTTTTCTAGAGGACAGAAGTCTGATGTTTGTAGAACTCAAACAAATTCTCAAATTCTCCCTCATGCTCAGCTATGAACTCATACATGCTAACTACAACAAGGCAGACTTTATTTAGTGCAATAATTATTTTATATCCAACCACTCTACGTTGAAATCGTGTTTGGTTCTGTTGTTTTTCTGATGTCACTGATGTATGTGGCACAATAAGAAACAGATAATGGGGCTGGAGAGATGGCTCAGTGGTTAAGAGCACTGGCTGCTCTTCCAGAGGACCAGGGTTCAATTCCCAGCACCCACAAGGCAGCTCACAACTGTCTAGAACTCCAGTTCCAGGGGATCCGACAACCTCACACAGATGTACATTCAGGCAAAACACCAAAGGACATAAGATTTAAAAAAAACAAATTATTTTTTTTAATTGTTTTAATCCTCTGGGTACATCATTCTGCCATCTGTCCCTTCCTGTATAGTCCCAGAATTTAACTTCAATAGGAACTTAAATTCACAGGAGGGGCATAATCGTACATACTCCGCATCACTTTCCCAGGGGCTTTACATGAATTTAATGTCTTTTTTGTTTTGTTTTGCTTTTTTGTTTTCTGAGACAGGGTTTCTCTGTGGCTTTGGAGCCTGTCCTGGAACTAGCTTTTGTAGACCAGGCTGGTCTCGAACTCACAGAGATCCACCTGCCTCTGCCTCCTGAGTGCTAGAACTAAAGGCGTACGCTACCAATGCCTGGCGAATTTAATGTCTTTAATCTTGACAGTGGCCTTCTCAGGTAGAAATTCTATTATATCCTAACTACAGATGAGAAAGCTGAGGCTGGAAAAGGTCAGGGTTCCATAAGCCAAGGGAAGTATCTGAGCTAATGGCCAATGTGAGCCAACCCAGACTCCATGTTCTTGCCTCTATACCAAATCAAAATCGTTCTCACAGTTATTAGAGAGTCCAGCCCCAGAGGTCACAATTTAGTAAATCCTTCCCAGTTATAATCTCCTGCCCAACCTGTGTACCAGGACAGCCACAACCCACCCCCGGGTGAATGCTCTCATTCTCTCTTGCTTCAGGACTGGCTTCACATTGTTTTAGTTGTTAGGCAAGTGTAAGTAGTATCAGCATAGAATAGAGTCAATACAGCAACAACATGGATTGAAATAGCACCCATGGCCAGGCGTTGGTGGCGCACGCCTTTAATCCCAGCACTTGGGAGGCAGAGGCAGGTGGATCTCTGTGAATTCGAGGCCAGCCTGGTCTCCAGAGCGAGTGCCAGGATAGGCTCCAAAAGCTACACAGAGAAACCCTGTCTCAAAAAACCAAAATAAATAAATAAATAGTACCCATGGTAGAAAGATGCTAAACCTTAATACCCCAGTAAAAGACTCCATCCTAGGGCAGGTGTCAGGCCTGAGAGAAAGAATGTGGCCTTCAGAGGCCCAAATTCTCATAGGACTACAGAGAGGCTGGACAGCCTGAGTGACCTCTAGCTTGGACTCAGCACCACCTCAGGCCAAGCACTGTTCAGGGATTATTTCAGTTCCTCCTCACAGCACGCTTGAGGCAACTCCTAATATGCTAACATCACAGATGAGAAAACAGAAGGTTTGAGGGTTAAAGGTCACAGAGCCAGTGAACACCAATCAGGCAGTCCTCAAGTCTGTCTGACTCAAGAACCATTGAAGATGTCATCAACAGGACTTTTAGTCTCCATCCTGAGGTTATGAGACATTGCCCATCCCATTATGTCCTTCGTCAGCACAGGGGCAGCAGAAGGGAGAATTAGAGATGCTTTGTAGAACTATATGTGCTTCCGAGTCTGTCTCTACCTCAACTTGAGAATCAATGGGGGTCCTAAAACACAGCTCTATCTCCTTGTGAGCACAGCCTGTCACAAGTTCCTAGAATGGCGACTTTTTCCGTCTTGGGCGGAACTCGTGAGAGGCTCTCCCTTGTCTCTCTCATCAGCTCATGTTGCTTCGCCAGAGCCTGCCCTGCCACTCTCATTCTACACCAAATCCAGATGATGCCACTTCTGACAGGCTAACAGACAAACACACGAGGATTTAAGTAATGGCTGAAAGGGTCAAATATCCAGGTTATGTCTGGGATAGCAGGCCAAGACACATTACCTTTGCTGTCCACAAATTCAACCAGCGCTGAACTCTCTTCTGGGAAACATTCCACATGGGCGACTCTACCGCCCCCGTTGAAAGGATTTTCAAAGTAGAGCTGCAGCTGGAAGTCATCTACCCCAGGAGGCAGGTTTTCCACCCTAACTACATTTGTTGTTTCCAAAAGTCTTGGGACAAGTTGAAGTTGTCGGTTTGAATGGTGACTGATACAATCAGTAATAAATTTTTTGGTATCTACAAAACAAATAAGATGAGAAAATTTTGATGACATCTCTGTATGGTGTGGAAGAAATGGGTTGGCTACAAGTGAGAAGGAGGAACTAGCCAATTGCTGTATTTTCTGCCACTGAGCTGTCCTTTAGCCACGACCAACCCTCCTGAGTGTACTCCTTACAATGCCACCCTCTCCCCATTTTCTCAAGACCCTTGATGCCCACTATGTCAACAAGTAGCAGCCACATCCACAGCCAGACTAGTGACTCCAAACACATATCCAAAAAGCACTTTCAGTCTCTTTTTTGTTGCCACAAAAAAAAAGAAAGAAAGAAAGAAAGAAAGAAAGAAAGAAAGAAAGAAAGAAAGGATACCTAGTCATGAGCCAGCTGGTGGTAGCACACACATTTAACCCCAGCACTTGAGAGGCAGAGACAGGCAGATCTCCATGAGTTTGAAGTCAGCCTGGTCTACAGAGCAAGTTCCCAGACAGCCAAGGCCACACAAAAAAACCCTGTCTCAAAAAACCAAAACCAACTAACCAGCCAAGAAAAAACAAGTACAAACCAATTACTCATGTTTTTGAAGTTCTCTTCTTTTGTCCTTGTGTATATAATTGCCCAAGTCTGCAATGCCCATGTCTGCAATGCTGGTTTCAGAAATGCTCTTCTCCAACATGGGAGATGGAGGTGCTTTTGTTTTATTGTGATGCTAAAGATCAAACTGAACCATGCTACCAAAATAAGGCTATTTCTACATCCCTCCTCCATTTTTTCAGATGGTCCTATTTATCCTTCAGCCTAACTATCTCTTTTAAATTAATCGGGTGGATGGTGGGCCTACCATGTGCCAGTCATTATGTTGGGTGGGATCTGGGAAATTAATACAAGTCCTTGCTTGTATATTACTGGGAAGATGTGGATCTTGAACACAAATGAGTTGCCTTTTGGGGATCCAATAAGGAACAGATAAAACTGGGATTCAAACTCAGATCGTATATGGTCGATACATGGTCTCTAATTTGAAGACTAAAGTGTGTGTGGGGGGGGGTGCCAAAAAGAAGCAGAGAGCAATGGCAGCATGAACAAACCTGGTGCCCATTGGAGATGCTCATGTGACGTTGCTGGAGGGCACACTCAGGTGAGCACAATTATGCACGTTCTTGTCCGTTGTCCTCCCCCTCCCCCCACTCCCCAGGTTACTACAGCAGAGACAACTTTTCTTTCATCTTCATTATTCATTTGTACATATGCCTCCTTCCTCCTCCAGACTGAGCTCCTCTAGAGAGGGGACTATGATTTCAAGATAGATCTTTGTGCCTCAATCCCTAAACCGGTATCTGACTTATAACAGTGACTATAGTTTGGATCGAAACTGTCCCAGAGTGTTAAAGGATTAGTGCTCAACTTGGTGCTATTGGGAAGTACTGGACCCTTTAACAAGTGAGACATGAGGGAAATGTTCCAGTCACTGAGTGGGGAGGAAGGAGACAGGATGACCCTGGAATCCATCCATCTGTCTGTCTGTCTGTCTGTCTGTCTGTCTATATCTCTAGGCCATTGAGATAAATAAACAATCTTCCATCTGCCTCACCATAAGTCCCAAGGCAACAGGGCTAATTGATCATGAATTGAAGGCACCCAAACTGTGAACTGGAATGAACCTCTCTTTTTGGAGGCTGAGTCCCCCAGGGATTTGTTGTTCAATGAAAAGATGCAAGATCATTTAAATTTCCCTTTATGGATCTGGAGAGATGGCTCAGAGGTTCACAGCACTTGCCAACTTTGCAGAGAACAGTGATTCACTTCCCAGCATCCACTTGGAAGCCCACAACTATCTGTAACTCCAGTTCCAGGGGAATCCAATGCCCTCTACTGGCTTCTGCAGATCCTGCATGCATGTGGTATACAGACATGCAGGCCAAGCATTCGTAAACATAAACAAATCTTTACATTTCCCTTTATAATAAATAATTAACTTGAAATAATAATAGTGAGCCGGGTGTGGGTGGCGCACGCCTTTAATCCCAGCACTCGGGAGGCAGAGGTAGGTGGATCTCTGTGAGTTCGAGGCCAGCCTGGTCTCCAGAGCAAGTGCCAGGATAGGCTCCAAAGCTACACAGAGAAACCCTGTCTCGAAAAACCAAAAAAGAAATAATAATAGTGTCCTTTATTGAATCCTTACCATGCCTTAGGTACTATGTTAAGTAACATCTCACTTAATCTTCACAGGAATTTAGGGAAGTATGATCATCCCTGTTTCATGGATAAGTGAATAAGAAACAGAGAACATAATAACTTGGTCAGCTTCATACAAATAGTTAAATAGCAGGACTAGAATTCTGACCACACCACCTGTGAGCTTGACTGACACCCCACTGCCATGGCCATGGGACACGGGGGCTTGGATTTGGAAATTCTCCCTGTTCTAGGTAGAACTGGGTCTTGCTTGTGACAATGACCTACCAAAGCCATCATTTTCTTTTTCATGTTTATGTGTGTGCACACAAGTGCATGTGTGTGTGTGTCCATTTGGAGGTCAAAGGACAACTTGTATGAGTCCCAGGGATCTAACTCAGACTTGGCAGCAGTGCCTTTGCCCATTCTGCCATCTTGCTGGCTGGAGCACTCATTTTCCTCAGTAAGTGGGCTCTCTCATCTCTGCATGTGTGACCATGAAAGGGTCATACCAAAGAGAAGTGTGGTAAAATGGTAGGAAAAGGGGGAGTGGAAGTTGGCTGCCTGGCCTCAACTTCAGTTCCTCCATCTCTCAGCAACATCAAGGGGTGGTTGCAAGGAATGAATAAGTTAACATTCAGAGTTTAGCAAGTGCCTGACTTACGGCAAGCATTGAGGATAACTGTGTTGGCAACATTGCCTTCCAGTAAGTGTGGCATTGTAACAGGCCCGTCTTAACTCCTCTGGGGGAAGTAATGTGAGAGTTCACCCCTCCACTTGGAATCTCCTTAGATTTTCTATTTCCCACCCCACCCCACTCAATCCCACCCACTCAAACAATCATATAATAAAGGGCAGTCAGTTAAAGATACCCAAACTGGATCTCAAAATAAATTTGTTTCTCTTTCCAAAATCTGAGGGGGAAAGCATCTGTACTGACTTAGAGGCCTCATTTACTCCCTACAACAAAGAGTCAAACATTCAGAGACGTCCCAAATCCTGGGGTATGGAGGACAGAAGTCCGGGACTGAGACCCCCTCACCCCAACACACTCACCTATAGGCATCTGAAAGGTAACCACAGCCACACCAAAATCTCGGATCACTTCCACCTTAAAGCATTCACTGGGGAAGCCACTTATGTTCTCCACTAGGAAGGTTAGCACCACGTCAGACACTTTCTCTGACAGGTTTTCAAATGCCACCATGGAGGAAATATTTTCACATTCTGTGGGGACATCTTCCATTTTTTCTGATCTGTCGCTGGGAAAACCTGTTATATCCAAATCATCTGATTAGACTGGAAATGACAATGAAAGGTGTAAGGTATTGATTGAATCATGGTTTTAGTAAGTAAATTATCCTGAGACAAACCCCCCCCACCCCACTTCCCACCTCTTGGCTAACTCCATTAAAAGGAAATCTTAAATAGGAAAGCTTTTGCTTTAGTGAATTAAAAACTAAAATGTAGCCATGTGTGGTGGCTTTAATCCCAGCACTCAGGAGGCAGAAGCAGGCGGTTCTCTGTGAGCAAGAGGCCAGCCTGGCCTATAGAATGAATTCCAGGACAGCTAGGACTGTTTCACAGAGAAACTCTTGTCTTAAACCAACGGAGAGGGCTGGAGAGATGGCTCAGAGGTTAAGAGCATTGACTGTTCTTTCAGAGGTCCTGAGTTCAATTCCCAGCAACCACATGGTGGCTCACAACCATCCGTTATGAGATCTGGTGCCCTCTTCTGGTGTGCAGATATACATGGAAGCAGAATGTTGTATACATAAAAAATAAAATCTTTAAAAAAAAAAAGAAAAGAAAAACCAGTATCTAGGTAGATAGATAGTAGTATTGGGTTTTTGTTGTTAATGTTGTTGTCAGTAAACTAAAATGTAAAAGTAGCATTGTTTTTTTTGTTGTTATCACTAATTCAATTTTATTACTTTTTTCTGCTTTGTCTTTCTGAGGAACATACATCATCCCTCATATATGCCTCTCCAGTACTAGACTGCAATTACAGAACCAAGCTTCTAAAAGCAGGGCATAGCTCTCTTCATCTTTGTGTTGCTTGCACATGGCATACAACTGAGGCCCATCAGATGTTCACTGAATTAGAGAACTACGCTTGGCCTCCCTGGAGGAAAGTGAGGATATCTGAAGTGTGTATACACTTATGATAAACAAAATAAGAGTTTAAAAACTAACACTATAACAGTATTAATGACTCAGTGGGTAAGAAAGCTTGCTGTGTATATGTGAGGGCCAGAGTTTGAATCTCCAGCACCCTCATAAACAGCTAGGCATGGCTACAGTGTGCCCAAGGAAGAGAGCAGAGATGGGCAGACACCAAGAGCTCCCTGGCCAGGAAGCCTAGCCAAAAGGGCAAACTTCAGGTTCAGTGAGACACCTAGTGTCCAAGCTGGAAAGCAGAGTGATGAAGGGAAGAAAGAATTCCTTTCCCTCAGATTTAGATGTCTACATTTCTTGGTTGCTCTTGCTTGTCTTACTTAGCATGGTTCTTCATTTGTTACCCTTTATAAGGGTATTATTAGTTGCTCCTTCATTTGTGTCTAGGGCAGGAAATGGCCCTGCCTACTCACTAGTGGAGCAGGAGACCCCCACCTCTGGCTGTTCCCTGCAGTAGATAAGGAAGGAAGAGCTGGTACTGGGAAGCTGGGGTCCACCTAAGATACACCCAGGGCTCACAGAGCACTGCTACCCAGAAAGGCACACAGCAAGCATCCACTACATGTCCTTTCCTTGGTAATTGGCCACCCAAGCACAAATGTCCATCACCACCTCCCAGGCCTTCCTCCCTGCTCCTCAGCTGCAGACATCTCCCAGCACTGGAGAGAGCTGGTCCTGTTCCTCTGATGGGAGCCTGAAGAGGTGAAGGCGCTCCCACAGGGAATGAATGCTTCACACACATCTGACTGAGACTGGAAAGATGATGCAACTCTAGATACTCCAAGCTGAGCAGGTCGTGTGTGGTGTGAATCTAGAGGGAAGATCTCCCAAGCAACATGTTTAATAAACATAAAACTGCCTAGTGAACACTACGGCCTTCTTAGATGAGACTTACCTGTCTTTGCAGCATCATTTTTTGTCTTGGATTCCTAAAACCCAAACAGTAAGACAGCATTAATACACAAACCATTTCTTTTTTGTTTCTTTGGTTTTGTTTATTTGTTTCTCTGTTTAACAGTTCTGGCTGTACTGAAACTTGATTTGTAGACCAAGCTGGCCTCAAACTCACAGAGATCTGCCTGCCATTGCCTGCCAAGTGCTGCTGGGATTAAAGGCATGCATTTCATATCATAAATAAAACACCTCGGGCTGGAGAGATGGCTCAGAGGTTAAGAGCACTGGCTGCTCTTCCAGAAGACCTGAGTTCAATTCCCAGCAACCACATGGTGGCTCACAACCATCTGTAATGAGATCTAGTGCCCTCTTCTGGTGCACAGGCATACATTGAGACAGAATGTTGTATACATAATAAATAAATAAAATCTTTAAATAAATAAATAAATAAATAAATAAATAAATAAATAAATAAAACACCTCTTGGGCCAGATGGAGATGTCAGCCAATTAAAATTGAAATGATAATAACACACTTGGGTAATGGGCTGGTGTATCGAACCAAGGCCACAATGTGTCTTCTTTGCTGGTCACAACAATCATAGATGAAATGTGACACATACAAGGGTCTCCAGCTCAAGCCAAGGGCAAGGCGACTTAGCCATGGTTTCCTGCACTTGGCACTTATTTCATGTTTACTATATGAGCACAGGGCACGTGTTTCACAGAGGTCCCTGGTGATCTTCACAAATGAGGGAACCAAACACAACATGCGCACCGTTGGCCTCTCAAGATGATGAAAACAAAACAGCAGGCTTCTGGTTATAAAGAAGCCAAGATAAATAGATGCAAACTTTGACATCCCAAATTTATTATTATTGCAGCCCCCAAATCTTGACTCTTCCAAGTGTCAACAAATGACTGCTTCAATGCCGTTGGTGGTGCACGCCTTTAATCCCCAGCACTTGGAGGCAAAGGAAGGCAGATCTCTGTGAGTTCAAGACCAGTCTGGTCTACAGAGCGAGTCCTAGGACAACCTCCAAAGCAATACAGAGAAACCCTGTCTTGGGGGAAAAAAAAAATAAAAAACAAAAACTGACTGCTTCTTCGTTGTTTATATCCCTTCGTCCCTCCATAGTTCCAAGCTACCATTCTTATGCTAGTGTAACTTAACCCTCATCTACCGTTTTTCTTTTATTTGAGACACAGTCTCACTATATAGCTTTGGCTGGTCTGGACTCACTATGTAGACCAAGCTAGCCATGAACTCATGCAGATCTTCCTGCCTCTATTTCCCAAGCACTGGGATTAAAGGTGTATACCACCTCACTCAGCGCAGCAAGACCATACTTCATCAAGAAGAATCCCACACCTTGGAATAATACCGTGTGTCCTTACCTTTTCTGGAACTGCCTTAGAGACTGAGGCTTTATCTGGGTCTTCGGGCAACCGGACAGTTAACTTGAATGTCCCCTTTCCTTGCCACACTAACTCATGATTTTCTTTCTCCAGAACATTCTGACGAACTGAAATGTTAAAAAAAAAAAAAAGCTCTAAGCCAAATTGCAAGCAATCTTTACTTACTCAATGAGTCCATGATTTCCACAGACTTCCCCCTCATGACCCAGAAGCTCAGCCAGTGCCCCTAAGAAGCAAGCTCTTGTAAAAGAAGGAAAACTTACTGGATGGATTTGAGTTTCACCTTTAACTCACTTTGTGTGCATTATTCATGTTGTGTACAGGTGGCAAACATGGAGGAGTGTGCACTCCTAGCCACATGGAGGCCACAGCAGGACACTGGGTGCCTCCCTCTGTCACTCTGCCTCCCTGCCTAGAGACTGGGTGTCTCAATGAACCTGAAGTTTGCCCTTTTGGCTAGGCTCCTGGCCAGGGAGCTCTTGGTGTCTGCCCATTTCTGCTCTCTACACTGGGTACATGTAGCCATGGCCAGCTGTTTATGAGGGTGCTAGACATTCAAACTCCAGCCCTCACACTTACACAGCAAACTGTCTTACTTTGGAGCCATCCCCCTGCCTAAACTTACCTGGGTGTTGTTGATGCTGTAGTTTTGTTTTGTTTTGTTTTTGTTGAGACAAGGTCTTACTATGTAGCCCTTGTTGGCCTAGCACTTGCTTTGTAGACTTATTTGAACTCAAACTCACAGAGAACTGCCTGCCTCTGTCTCTCAAGTGCTGGGATCAAAGCATGTGCTGCCAAGCCCAAGTTACTTTTTAATATTCATTGCTTTAGCTTAGCTATGGAGTGTTCCCCAAGGGCCTTGAGATTACAAACACAGTTGCCAGCTCATAGTCTAACAGAAGGTCTGAAAGATTGAAGAAAGGGGGCCCAGAGGAAGTCAGATTCTGCCAGGGGAGAGGGGGCGATCCTGGGACCCTAGCCCTTTCCTCCTTTCGTAATCACTTCATAGCCAAGAGTTTTCCACAGGGTGTATTCCTTGTGCCATTGACCCAACTGACTGTTGACCAAAAACTCCAAAACTGTTGAGCCCAGATAGACCCTTTCTCTATTCAAGCTAATTATCTCAGATACTTTATCACAGCAATGGAATTCCGGTGAACACCATTAGCATCCTGCTAAACAAATCCTACTTACAAAGCTCCAGTCCTCTTATTGACTAATGAAGTTAACAGGCATTTTTTGAGCCAGTAAGTGTATTACATTGAAGAAATATAAAGAGTTTAGTAGTACAGTACCTGTACTGTACTTGGTAGGCACTGAAAGTAAAAGTATTTATAAATATCGGGATGACTGGGTACATGATGTGATGCAAGTCATATTTTAGAGAGGTGACCCAGTTGGCCATTATCAGAATGACAGGGAGACCAGCCATTTCAACTAATGCCTCAGCCTGCAATGATAAACAACCCATATTTAGTAGTAAAGGGAGCAGAAAAAAATGGAATAGAAGATATTGTAAAAAAAAAAAAAAAAATAGAATTAGAGCACCGGACAGCAGAACTATTGTGAAAACTAAACAGAATCCAAAGACTTGCCATTTGATTTCCAACTCACCCACAAACTAGCTAAGTAGCTGTAAATAAACAAACACCTCTGGAGCAGAGGTTTCCCCCATTGAAAGTATTTTCAAGGAATGCTGTCAATCACATGAAGAGTTATGAAAATGTAAATTGTAAGCATCAGAAGCAGTAACCAGAGACAGAGGAAAACCAGAGCAACACAGACAGCAGAGAACCGGAAAGGAACAGGAGGGGAGTGGCCATCATAGACAAGAACAGGAAAGGAAAGGAACCGGAGGGGTGTAGCCAGCATAGAGAACAGGAAGGGCGTGGTCAGCATAGAGGAGACTGGAAAAGAAACAGGAGGGGCGTGGCCAGCTAAAAAATGGTGCAAACAGGTCAAGGAGAAACATACCAGAGCCCTGCTCTCACAGCTACCGCTAAATGGTTGGGTTCCTGTTGTACTCTCATGGGCTGCTAGTCTGATGAGCTCAGAGCCTATCATAAAGGGAGACAATGATAGCTCTCCCACCTCAGCCGTGAAGAGGGCAGGCATAGCGAGACTTCACTTAGAAGCAACATTGGACTCTAACACTACTGTGTGAGTAGTCAGGAGTTTCCAGAGAAGCTGTGCTGGGCTAGTGAGGGGACTGAGGACTGTGTGACCTAATGTCTGAAGACTGTTACCTAATGTCATGCACCTCTGTGTTCACATTCCTCTTTCCTGAACTTTAGTGAAGTCCATCCAAGGCATCCAAGCATGACTGTCCCTTCTAGGATTGTATGCAATGTGTATGGACACAAGTACTGCCAGAGAGCCATGGTGGCATTATCAGTATGTGATTGCCAACAAGAAAGGGAATCTGGGAAAAGGAGGCAGCAAAATTCTCAGGTCTCACTTCTCCCCTGTGCCCGCCTCAAGTTAGGTATGTTCAGTTTTACTTAGGAAGGTGGGGTTCCAGGGTTGGAGACATGACTGGTTAAGAGCATTGGCTGCTATTCTAGAGGACACTGATTCTGTTACCTCCAGTTCCAGGGGATCTGATGCCCTCTTATGGCCTCTGCAAGCACTGCATGTATGTGGTATCAGACATATAGAGGCAAGCACCTATACACATACAATAAAAATAAATCGTGTGTGTGTGTGTGTGTGTGTGTGTGTGTGTGTGTGTGTGGTTTTTTGAGACAAAGTTTCTCTGTGTAACAGTCCTGGCTGTCCTAGCATTTGCTCTGTAGACCAGGCTGGCCTCAAACTCACAGAAATCTGCTGCCTACCTCTACCTCCCAAGTGCTGGGATTAAAGGCATGCATCACCACGGTCCAGCCAATTTTTATTTTTTAAAGAAAATTAGTTTCCTTACTTCAAGAATACCTACACCCTCATATAATAAACAGGAGCCCATTTAGGACAAAAAAAGTATGATAAAGTATGCCCATGTGAAATTGGGTCTGAGAGTGTAGCTCAATGTCCTAAGCACAAAAGACATACATACTCAACAGTACACAAATCCAGTTAACCTACAAAGGTGAGGTCTTCTGATTCTGACCTTTCTATGGGGGTGGGTGGTGGTGCTGGCAGATTATTGTGGATTTATATGAATAAAGTCATGCCTGCTCAGGCTACATCTGGGACAGGGAGTGGTGGCCTCTACAGGAAAGGAATGTTGCTGCCCTAGGGTACTTCTGTTGCAGGGAAATTCCAGCTGGCTTACTGCTGAGGAAGTGGTGCCTCAAATAGGAAACCGAAAGTGAATGGAAATTCTAGTCACTAAAGACTGACCCTCAATAATGCTAAATTTTAATGTTCCTAGTCCGCTGTGAAATGAGAGAGATCACCCGAGACACCCGGGAGAAGAGAGGTCTGTGGGCTGGGTGCCCACGAGGGAGAGAGCTGAGCAGAGATCTGCCTCTGACTTATGGATTGTGAGCTCAATCTTTACCCCACCTGCCCAGGGGTCTGCTGTGAAGGCTAGAACTGGAGTTGTATCATCACAACCATTATTTTCTTTTTGTTTGTTTGTTTTTGTTTTTGGGGTTTTTTTTTGGTTTTTTTCACAACCATTATTTTCTATGTTGTGTGTCATTATACTACCCATATCTTATATACCTCTCCATTTTATTGGCTTGAGGTTCTCAATAAACAACAGAAAATTTTCAAACGTAAGCATGTCCTGGTCACTGCAGAGGGCTGGTGGTACATAATTCCCCACTCACCCCACACTTGCTGCACTAAAGTGTCTAGAATAGAACTGGGGCTGTGTCTAGTTACCCCACCCTCCCTGTGACCAGGATGCAGTAGTCTGTACCCCTAACATGCAACCAACATTTGAGGACAGCTCTAGAGAAGAAAGCACTCCATAAGGGCCACGTCTACTTGGGTATTGATCCCTGGAATCAAACTGGGAACCCTCTAGCCCTCTACAGACTTTCAACTTGTGGGTCGTGACCCCTCTGAGGGATCAAATGATCTTTCACAGGTGTTGCTTAAGACCATCAGAAAAAAAAAAAAACAAACAAAAAACAAAACAAAAAGAAAAATGATATTTACATTACGATTCATAGCGGAATTACAGATATGAAGTAGCAATGAAAAGAATTTTATGAATGGGGGTGACCACAACTTGTATTTTAGGGTTGTAGCATCAGGAAGGTTGAGAATCCCTGCTCTAGGAAGTGAAAATGAGAAAACAGGTCCTTCTGTCAGCTGTCTGTCGCGCACTCCCTGGTGAAACCTAGGACAATACGGTTCTTATTTTCCTACTTTCCGGAAGGGGTCTGCGCCATACAGGTCTCTCGTGCCCTCCTGCCTAGGCTTTCTGAAAACCTGTGTCTATACCTTCTCTTTCTTTCATTTTTTCTTCTTAGATCCCTGGTGGGCCATTACCTTGCGCACCTAGCTTCCTCGGCCTCCTTGCCTCTCCTCTGGCCCAAATGTTTCTTCAAATCCAAGGACCAGAAGGAGGAATTGTCCATATTCTGAGGATGACCCTGGTCTACAAAATCTCAGATGGGAACTAATGGTGGCCTTCTGGAAGCAACAGGTCTGGGACTTCAGCTCACCCACCTGAACAACAAGCAAGGCTGGACCTCACTTGCAGATTGTGAACAGAAGTAGGGAACACTCGAATGGCCCGGGGGCCTTCCGATGAGGAAAACAACCCCATTGCACCCCGGCTCAAAGCTCACAGCCACCTCAGGCCACTCTGGGGCAGAAGGACAAAGCAGCAACAAGATCCCAGGTTGTGGGACAAAGGCTTTCCCCTTCTCAAGCTCACCCTCCCAAAACACCCTGTCCTCAGAATCCTTCGGTGCCAGCTGACCCAAGACGCCTCAAGTTTCTTTATCTTTTCCTACACCACTTGAATAATAAAAACAGGAAAGTTAAAATAAAAAGAGAAAAAAGAAAAGAGAAAGAAAGGAATTAAGGAAGGAAGGAAGGAAGGAAGGAAGGAAGGAAGAAAGAAAGAAAGAAAGAAAGAAAGAAAGAAAGAAAGAAAGAAAGAAAGAAAGAAAGAAAGAAAGAAAGAAAGAAAGAAAGAAAGAAAGAAAGAAAGGGAAGGTTCACAGCGCCAGGAAGCGCCTGCAAGGGCAAGGGGAACCGGACTCCGGGATGCGCTCGCCACCCAGATTCTGCCCCCAGGGTCTCCCGCTCCTACGGGGCTACAGCAGAGTTCTGGGCCTGCCACCCGTGGCCCCGACCCCGCGCGGGGTGACCCTCCTCGCCCTCGCTCCTCTCACCGTCCTCCGGGGAGAAGAGCACCAGGAAGCACGCCGGGCTCCCCGGCTGCTGAACGACCTCGCACTCCCCTCCGCCCGACTTCTTCGGGCTCTGGAAGTACATTTGCAACTTGTTGATCAAGGTCTTCGGGGGCTTGGGGCCCCAAGACCCCTCGACCAGTAGCGGGAACGGGCCGGACTCTGCCATCCTGGCTGGCCAGGAACCGCGACTGCCAGGTCGCCCAAAGCTGCTCAGAGTTTTAATTAATGTCTCTTTCGCTTTCGTTTCCTGGAAATTCCTCCCCACCCTTACTTTCTATCTTCACCTAACTGTCCCCGGATTGGAATAACACACACACACACACACACAGTGTCCAGAGTTTCTATCTTCACCTAACTGTCCCCGGATTGGAATAATACACACACACACACACACAGTGTCCAGAGTTTCTATCTTCACCTAACTGTCCCCAGATTGGAATAATACACACACACACAGACACAAACACACCCACACACACACACACATATAACAAACAGCCACAACCCCACAA